GGGCGCCGGCCGGGCCGCCTGAGAGCCCCGCTCGTCCGCCCGAGCGGCGCGGGAGGGGAGGCGCGTTCCTGGCTTCGGTGGGACTTCGAGGGGGGCCCGGCTTCTGTGGGGTCTGTTGTTTTGGCTTGTTTGGGGTGTTTGTTCTTTGTTTTATTTTGTTTCGTGTTTTATTTATTTTTTTTTCCCCCGGGCAACAGCCGAGGTGATGATAGAGATAATCATGGGTGCTGTGCTGCCCTACAATTAAAAAGGGTCCCTGTGGGAAAGAGGTCAGAGAATGGGTAGAAACAGCAGGTGGATGATGAGCGAAGCAAGTTAAAGCAGCCCTGTGTAAGGAGGGGGTATGGGTTAGTCGTGTCTCTTAACTGCTCCTCGTGTCCTGAGATGCTGCCAGGTGCAGAGCGGAAGGATGTTCCCTGTCGGTGATAACTTGTTAACTTTCCTCTTTCCTTGCGGTCTCCTTCCCTCAGCTCTGCGTTTCTCTGTCTTGTTCACCTGTTACATCCTGTTAACCTAGATTGGGAGCTTTCTGGGACACAAACTTATCTTAACAACTGTCAGTTTACATGGTGCTGTAAAGAGATGACTTTTGCTTACATTGGTGCTGAAGGTGTTGACTTTTCATATTTGACTTAGCATTCCTTGTGCTAAGGTCCACACAGCCACCACAGGGGGTATTTCATTATGGGGCAGCAGCAAACCTTGGATCACAGGCAAGAGGGAAATAACTTTGTCCTTTGACAATTTCTCCTTCTATTTTTTTTCCCTGTTATTTTTTTCTTTCGAAGGGCACAGTTACCCTCCCTCCCACAGGCTTTTTCTGAAGGAGTCTCCAATACTGAGTCACGTTGCTGACTAACCTTTTGGCTCACTTGTGTGTCAGACATTTTCTGGCTAGGACCGTAGGCTGTGATTGCTCGTAGGCAATAGTGAGCAGCAAAGCAGAGAGCACTTTGGGAGGTATGTGGTGTACCTGCTTTTCCCCAGGTGTCAGGAGAAGCCTATACCTGAGGAAAGATTGAAGAAAAAGGAAAGAGCTGTGTTTTGCTTCCTTTGTCTGAGCTTGGTCTGTGGAAGAATGGCATCTTAATCAAAACACAAACCCTCTACCAGGGAAATTCTTTTCCCATGAGGGAAGTAATTCTGGCTTGTAAATTCTGGTTTGAAGATTTTAGATTTTGAAGTGTCACTGAGCTCAACCCTTGCTTCCTTTGTGTCGTGGCAGGAAGGCTTTGGACACAGCACAGATTGTTGTGTGAGGACCAGCTGGAGCTTGGCCTCGCTGCGCTCTGTGATACGGCACCAGTAGCACATTTACCAGAAGACTCCTGCTACTGGAAAGCTTGCAGAGCAGCCCGTGTCACTGCTGCGGTAATCTATTTTTAAGTGTAGTATTGAGTTCAGTAGTGCTTCTTTCTCATATGTGCTTATGCGTATGCATCGTCCTTTGCAGAGGAAGGCCAACCGTTGGAAGAGAAAAGTAGAGGTTAAAACATCACCCAGCCTCACTGCTGGGGAAAAAAAGGGCAACAACAAAAGCCAAGAGTCTCATCTAGGGTGGGATATGGGATGTTTTGGAACTTATTGTGCTCTGGAGCTGCCTGAGGCATCTGCAGCTACTCGCACTCTGAGAGGATGTGAGGAGAAGGATGACAGGGAGCTATACATTCCTCCCTCTCTGTAATTTCCCATTAGGCAAAAAAAAAAAAAAAGAGGCAGGGGACTTAATGACCAAATTGCCATGTCCCGGCGGTGTGCCTTGGTTTGCTCCCTTTGCAGTTACTGCTGCAGCAGCGCTGGGGGCCTGGGCGGCGCGTCGCCCCTGCGAGCGGGGGGGCGGCGCGCGGAGGCTGCCAGGTGAGAAACGGGAGCGCGGGGCCGCCGAGCGGGGAGGGGCG